TTCAAATGCTTTCCTCTGGTTCCATCCAGATTCCCAAACTGTTAGCATTAAGCATCTGCCAAACTTAACACTTTGTGTTGTTACTTGAACATGTATTTCCCCAACTTGGAGTCTTAAAGAATAGCGACCATGAGACCATGTCTCATTCCTCTTTTCTTTTTAACTGCATCATCTTGCACAGAGTGTGCCCCCCAAAATGCTCACTGAATTAGTGGAATAACATCTGACAAATATATCTTACATGATATACTCAAACTCAGATATAAGTGAATTCACGGTGAGTAACTCTTCCAAGATTAACTAGAAGTTAGACAGGGAGGGAGCAGAAACAGGAATGAACAAATACCTTACCAGTTCTTGCTACTCAATCCTGAATTCTATAGACAGAAGCTACTCTCTCAATGGTAACTGACTTAATTGGTAGAATACATGAGGAAATAATCTCACCAAGTTTTAAAAAACGTATCAGCGCAAGGCAAATGTTTTTTGCATTGGTATAACACATAATGACACTCTAAAATTCTGGAATACATGCCATTAAGGCTAACGAGATGAGTCATTTTCTACATATCAAAAGAAATGCTACAGACCAGGGAAATTCCTGTCCTTTTACACTATAACCACATGGTTTCATTATTCATTAGTCCTAAATGTAATTCAGACTACATACATAGGAAACACTGTCAACTACTTGTTTTTCACAAAAAGAAGACTTTTTAAAGTATATAAATATTAAACCTAAGTGATCAGGGAAGTTGAAGTGGGATACAGAGAAGGGATAAATGAAGCAGTATTCAATGTTTTTTATCTGTTCAATTTTTAAAATAAACTTCTAATATCACAAATTAAAAAATTAAACTGCCAATTGAAAATATTCATCAGCCTTTGTCTAGCTTTTCTCTTCAATCACTACCCATCATAAAAGAAAAAGAACCTGTCCTAAAAACTGAAAAGGTCTTGAAACTAAGTTCATATGCTGTATAATTCAGAATAATCATCCCTGATTTCAAATCAAAAGTCTAAATGAATTCTCAAAATTCTTAAGAGGCTTAGTGTGTCATGGGATTAGAGGGGGAAGAAATAAGGCTTAAGAGTAGCTTTAACATACAGTTCTAAATCTATCTCTGTACGCCAGTGTGGTAAATATGTTTTTTAAATAAATAGACCAATACTGTCTCTAAATTTAAAATATAAACTCCATTAGAGAGATAAATGTTGAAGTTTCCCAAGGACCTAGAATACTGCCCAGCATAGAGTAGGCACTCATAAAGTTACTACTGAATATTGCTCAAGATGGTCCAAATATTTAATATGTTGATATATACAATGAGATGCAGATCCTCAACATGAAGCTGAAGTCTGAATTTATCCTGAAATGATCACTGATACAGTTTTCCTGGGATCTCATAACTAACATCATAGCCAAAAGCAAATTGAGAATGCCTATAAGAATTAAATAAAACATTAAGGTTCAGAACCTTAAAGCAAACCAAGAAGCTGGCAAAAAACAAAAATGTCACCAGTGCAACCAAATTTTCAACAAGCACAAGCTCTTATTTCATAAACAAAGCAATTCAAAAGGAGAGGCTGTTTTTTTGTTTTGTTTTGTTTTTTTGAGAAGTGTCTCAGTCTGTTGCCCATGACCTCAGCCTAGCTCATAGCAACCTGAAATTCCTGGGCTCAAGCTATTCTCCTGCCTCAGACTCCCCAATAGTTGGGACTATACAGGCACCTGCCACATGCCCAGCTAATTTTTCTATTTTTAGTAGAGAAGACATCTTTGCCGAGGTTGGTCTTGAACTCCTGACCTCAAGTGATCCTCCCACCTCAGCATCCCAGAGTTCTAGGATTACAGGGATGAGCCACTGTGCCCTGCCAAGACTAGAATTTTAGCAAAATATTTTTTAAAACTTAATTTCACTTAGACACTAGTGTATTTACCACAAAATTTCATTAGATGGCTTCACATTTCCTTTATCGACTGACCTAACTATATCAAAAGAATACCACTAAACAATATATTTGTGAATATTCCTAAAATTGCTATTTCTGTTGCTGTTTCCCACTCATAAAAGCAGAATGTAAGTATTTATAAGACTAGTATTTTTAGTTTTCTCTCTTAAAAGCCATCATGAGCATTTCACTATAAATTAAGCTGTTTCTTGCAGCCTTTGTTTATTTACTGTTAACTTACATAAACTCTCTTCTCTGTTCTTTGCCTCAGTTTTCTCTTCTGCAGAATGAAGAATTTGGATTAAAACACTGACTCGTAACATTTTTGTTTCTGCAACCCTTTGAGAATCTGGTAAAAGCTATGTGATCTTTCCATAAAAATACACATATATATTTATATAATGATTTCATAAATAATTATTTGCAATAGCAATAGACAGGGAACAACCAAAAGGTTTACCAATAGATAGTTAATTGAATTATGTTATATGCATTCAATGAAATTCCATACTCCATAAGAAGAATGAAGAAATATTCTGTGTAATTTTTTTTTTTTTGAGACAAAAGAGTCTCATTATGTTGCCCTCAGTAGAGTGCTGTTGCGTCACAGCTCACAGCAACCTCAAACTCTTGGTCTCAAGCAATTCTCTTACCTCAGCCTCCCAAGTAGCTGAGACTACAGGTGCCCAGTTGTCATTGTCAATTTGGTTGCAGTTGTCATTGTTGTTTGACAGGCCCAGGCCTGTCTTGAACCCACCAGCTTTGCTGTTATGTGGCTGGTGCCCTACTCACTGAGCTATGGGAGCTGAGCCTCCATCAAATAATGTTAAAAGCAAGTTACAGAACAGTGTATATAGTATATAATCTTTTGTGTGAAAGGGCAAAAAATAAGTATAATTGAATTTTCATGCAGATGCACAAACTGGATGAACAAACAAGAATCTTTGGTGGGCATGGGAAGTACAGGCTAAGAGACAAACTTCAATACATAGTTTCTTACATTTACATTTGAATCATGTAAATGCACTGCCTATTAAAATTTGAAATTAAAAAATACTATACACAACTTTAAGAGATTCAGACAACACATTGAAGCTAAAAGACAATTTCCAAGCACTGCTCAATATTTTTCGATTCTTCTAAAATTCTTTAGCTGAATAAGCATCTAAGCATATATACTCAATAATCCAAAAATATTTAGGAAAAATATCTTTCACTATGATCTCACAGAAACCTCAACCTCAAACTCCCAGGCCCAAGTGATCCTCCTGCCTCAGCCTCCCGAGTAGCTGGGACTACAGGTATCCGCCACAATGCCTGGATAACTTCTTCTATTTTAGTAGAGATGGAGTGTCACTCTTGCTCAGGCTGGTCTCAAACTCCTGAGCTCAGGCAATCCACCCACCTTGACCTCCCAGAGTGCTAGGATTAGAGGGGTGAGCCACCGCACCCAGATATACCAAAAATTTCTTCAAGCAAAAAAAGTCTACACAAGTCATTATGCCATAATCCTTCCCATAGCCAGATTTCAGACATGATATTTCAAAATGGACTCCAAGCTAAGAAAAACAAAATAAAAATCTCTATTATATTTGGCCCTATAATCAATATCACTAAGAAGACCATAAAAATATTGTCATATAATTTGAACATAATCTCAGAATTTGAAGCAAATTAAATAACGTATGAGATCATCAGACAGCATCCACAAAATACATGATATCTGAGGAAGTCTTCAACCCTGATTTGAGTGGGAATCAGATGGAACTGGGTTTTCACCCTTAGGCAAGTTACTTAACTCCTCTGGACCTCAGTTTCAACTATAAAATGCAAATAAAAATACGTATCTCATTGGAATGTTATGAAGCTTAAAAGGAGTACAAGCAACATATAAAGTAAGATAGATACAGGTCAAGTGTCTCTGATTGCTTGAATCAAAACAGACTGCATCCTGGAACCTGTAGTTTTTAGGGACTGCACTTTCATAAACAAGCAAGGCCTCCTATTCCCTACTGAAAATAACACATGACAGAATTCCCAACATAAAAGATTCAAATATCTGGCCTTCCCTGATTTATGTTTCTTGAAAATCTCCACCTAAATAAGCATTTTTTTTTTTAGTCAATGTTATGTTCACTGGGTGTGTCCCCCTCAAAGAGTCGTTAAGTTGTATCACAGTCATGTTTTGTGTTTTAAACAGGGCATCTTCTATCTCAAACCAGAACCAAGGGGAGTGGCAAGCTGCGAGTGGTAAGAAAGGCAAAGAAGTTCAAGGCAAGAGTCCTGCAACACTTAATTGTCAGGATGATAGTAGGAAACATACAGTGTCAAGGAGATAGAAGCAGCCTCTTGTCGACCACTCTTTGTTTCCAAAACTTTAAAACCTAGCCCAGCTTTTCTGTCGGGTACTACCGGTGCTTACTATTAGTATTATTATAAATATAAAACAGCTGTCACTTATTGCTTCCTAATTATGAACCAGGCTCTGTGCTCACCATGCATTTTTCAAGATTTCATGAAAAGAACTGCTGCACCCCATGAGCTCATTCTCCCAACCTACTCTGCTCTCGGGTCTGAAAAGCTCCCTTATATCCTCAGATTCAACCTGTCCCCGAAAGTCTGGATACTTCACACCCCTCACTGACCCATTCAGTCTCAGGAGTCACATCTCTGCAAGCAATAAGACTCCAAGTTCTTTATCCAACACTAAACCAAGCACTTCTCTTATCCCCCACGGCCCCTCCTCCTCCATACATCAATTCCAACCTGCCCCTAACTTGTTCCAAGAATTGTTTGCCTCCAAACTTCTGACTCATGTAAGGTGCAGGGTCCCCTCGCTGCCCCTCCAAATCCAAAGTGCCTGTACTTTTCACTCTGAAGTTGAAAATTCGGAAACACACACTACACCTGGGCAGAGCCTCGGTTCCAACCCCACGAACTCTCCACACCCGCTGGAGTAGGGCCCGGGACTCTCCCCCCACTAACCAGGGCCGACCGCGGCTCGCTCGGCCTCGGTCCGACCCCAAGGGGAGGAGGGGAAGCTCCACCTGGCTCCGCAGGCGCGGCGCGCGGCTCCTGCTCCGGCCTGGGCCCCGCAGCGGCCGCACCCCCGTCCCGGCGCGGACGGCAGCGCTCGGGCTGGCTCCGACGGACGCGCTCCCCCAGCACCTCCGCCTCGGCCTGGCTGTCGTCGCGGGCCCGACGGCGGGCCCAGCTCGAGCCTCGGGCGCGGCAGCGCGGGCAACCTGGGCCGGCCGCGTCGGCGGCGCGTTGGGCACAGCCCCCGCACAGCGAGTGGCCGCACGGCAGGGCCGCCGCTTCTCCCGGGGTCTCCAGGCATCCGGCGCAGCCCGACACCTCCGGCCGCGGCGGTGGCGGCGGCTGCAGCAAAGGAGGCGGTAATACCATCAGCGCGGGTCCAGAGGCCGCGCCTGCAGTTCCAGTCTTAGCTGCCGCCATCTCGTCACAGCGGCCCCGCCGGCCCCGCCGACTCAGAGCCGCCGCCGCCGCTGCAGAGGAGGCCCGAGTACTCGGACCTGCCGCCGCCATCTTGTTTCCCGTTTGAAGGAAGAGTCCGTTGCGAGGGAGAAGAGTAGAGGGCGGGGCGGGGCGCGGCGGGCAGAGCGCTCCGCGTATTCATGAGGGGGCGGAGCCCAGTGAGCCCGGAGGAGGTTTTATCCCGATCTGGTTGGCGGGAGAGGACACTTCATTAATATTTATTAGTTATTATTTATATATCCGGTCATCAGCCTCGCCCTCCAGTGTCTGCAGTTTCCTCTTACTGAAGGGAAGGAGGCTGAGAACAGAGGGCGTTTATTTATAAATTTTGAGCGAATTTAACGTTAATTATGAAGCAGTTATACTTACTTATCCGGCAATAGCTTGATAACTGAAACTAAAGTGAGTAAGGAATTATCCAGAAACCTGACTCCATTGGTATACACCTGTTGAAAGTGATTCCCCAAAGTATATTTTTGCTGTTTTTTTTTAGTCATTTCTGAAACATTTCAAATATACTTGCACACAAGTATGCAAGCACACCATTTATCAATACTCATATATAGAACTCATATACTTTTACATCATGTTTTTCAGAAATTGTTCTTTAGCTTGAATATTTACACATTGCTAGCTCAAGTTATTTTCAAAGTTGAAAATATATTTTTTCTCTACATGGAGGATATAGAGAAAAAATGGCCCAAAAAATGGTTCTAGGGCCTAAAGTTGATTCTCATTGTATTTACTAAAGCAATGTTGTTCAAAGTACAATGAAGGTTAGTTTCTTTACTTTAGAACCATAAAGGGAAAGTATATTAGACCTCCCTATTCTTCAAATATGTTCAACTGTCCACCAAGGACATTTCCTGAGACATTTCCTTTGGTTTAGGAAATCAGTATATTTACTTTCTTAATCCTCAAATCAAGTATCTAAAAGAGAAAACCATGATTCTATGTTTACCATGATTAAAATGTGAAAAATATGGAGGGCACACTTAATAATCTCTGTTGGTACATCAGACAGACATTACAGAAATTGGTTCATGTATATTTCATTTTAGAAGAACATTAAGCATTTTCCCCCACTTTATAGATGAAAAACTGGGACTGAGACTCAAAGAGATTCATTAACCTGCTGAAGATCATACAGTTTGACTCTATTTTTTTTTTTTTTTTTTGAGACGGAGCCTCAAGCTATCCCCCTGGGTAGAGTGCCATGGCATCACGCTCACAGCAACCTCCAATTCCTGGGCTCAAGCGAGTCTCCTGCCTCAACCTCCTAAGTAGCTGGGACTACAGGTGCCCGCCACAACGCCTGGCCATTTTTTGGTTGCAGCCATTATTGTTGTTTGGTGGGCCCAGCCTGGGGATTCGAACCCGCCACCTTAGGTGTATGTGGCTGGCGCCTTAGCCGCTTGAGCCACAGGCGCCGAGCCCAGTTTGACTCTAAATCTCATGCTCATGCTTATGTTCATGGCTCGGTGCCTATAGCTCAGTGGTTAGGGCACTGGCCACATACACCCAGGCCCTTGGATTCAAATCTTGCCCGGGTCTGCTAAACAACAATGACAACTGCAACAAAAAAATAGCCAGGTGTTGTGGCAGGCACCGGTAGTCCCAGATACTTGGGAGGCTGAGGCAAGAGAATCGCTTAAGCCCAAGAGTTTGAGGTTGCTGTGAGCTGTGACACCACTGCACTCTACCCAGGACAATATAGTGAGACTCTGTCTCAAAAAAATAATAATAATAAAGTAAAATAAATAAAGCTTAAGCTCATAACCACCGATATACTATAACTCTTGTCCTCCATGTAACAGGCTGCACATCTCCTGGATGGGAGGTCAGAGATAAGATGCTTCATTTAATGTGAGGGCCTGATTGGTGTAGCTGTTGTGCCTAAAACCAGGCCTACTTTGGTAGCTAACTGCCACAAGTAACAGCCTCTAGTTAGTCTTCATCTCCTCTCATCCTCTCTCTCCATATCCCTCCCTGAAATTTTTCTTCCTTGGCTGGCAGAACCACACTTTCCTATTTTTTTCCCAGCCCCATATCAGACTCTTTCCTTGAATTGGCCACGTTGGGGGCTGTAATATAGGGGTTCCTGTTGCCCCAGGCTTCAGCCCCCTTCTCACTCTGCTACTTTCCACTCCAGCTCACACTTTCTCACTTCTGCAACTCCAGATTGATGTCTGCTGCCCAGATCTCCTGAGTTGGGCCTCACATATTCAATTGCCTGATGGAAACATCATTTTGGATGTCTGTATTCCTCATGTACAAAACTAATGTCAGTCTTCTACCATCCTTCCAAATCAGCTCTTCTGCTTATTTCCCTCATCCTATTAAAAGTACTGTTCTCCCAGGTCCTCAAGTGCCAAATTTAGTGCTCTTTAAGTTCTGCCTCATCTTCTATATCCCCTCAGTGACTTAGTCCTGTCAATTCTCCCACCAAAATTTTCCTCCTTCTTTCCTACTCTTTTTCCCATTCCCACTGCCAAATTCTAGTTTCATCATCTCTCCTCTAGATTTCTGTGGCTACTATAGTTGAGTGTCTCCCTTCCCACATGCTCTTTTCCTGACCCAAAGGTGTCCAACCTTTTGGCTTCTCTGCATCATATTAGGAGAAGAAGAGTTGTCTTGGGCCACTCATTATATACACAAATGCTAACAAAAGTTTATGAGTAGGGCAGTGCCTGTGGCTCAGTAAGTAGGACACTGGCCCCATATACTGAGAGTGGCGGATTCAAACCCGGCCCTGGTCAAACTGCAACAAAAAATAGCCAGGTGTTGTGGCAGGTGCCTGTGGTCCCAGCTACTCGGGAGGCTGAGGCAAGAGAATCAC